TGCCCCCGCGGCGCGCCGTGCGGCGCCGGGCCCGCGGCGCCGGGCGGGGGCGGGGGGGGGGGGGGGGGCGGCGTGGGTCCAAATTTCTACCCCTAAACACTTCAACACTCCTTTTAGATCGTGTTTCACAAAACGTATTCAGTAACTATATTTATTTTTCTTGATTTTGGTCAATAAATATCAAATTTCTTCGTAAAAATTCATTGTTATAATAGTGAATCAAAACTTATAGACATATCCTAATATCAAAAACATACTTTCTGCTTTTTGAAAATGATTTTCTGCTGTACAGAGTTTAAAAGGTGGGAGGTCTGATCAACAACAGGATGCTTATAAGATTACATTACTTTATTAAACAAATAATTATTTTTATCAACACTCTTCTTTCTCCTCTGACTCAAGATTATGCAGAGATCAGAATACTTTGTGTAATAAAAAAAAAAAGATTTCGTCCAAAAAAGAAAACGATATTATGATTTACGTTTTGAGAATTTTCATGACAAGCACATCTTTTCTGTTTGCTATCTATTATGTTCCTTTCTCTATTACGAGTTGTTTCGTAGTATATTTGTCATGTTTTTTATATGTTGAATTATATTTATGCGTGTAGTTAGAGTTTGTGTAAAATATAATTGAGGACTTTCTCCTTTATTATCGTTTCATATCTTCATTTTTATAAATATAGAAATATGCAAAAGACAATTTAATTAAATCAAATGATACTAAACAAAAATATTCTTGTCCTAGGTTGCAAGGTTGTCGCTGGAACATATATTTTATTAAATTAATATCCCACTGAAAGTGATGACGTCAAATTCACCTAATTCTCTAAGCGGAAATCATTCTCTTTTGCACTTGCCATCGTAGAGAAGTGAAACTCTATCATGGACTGTTTCATGATATAAAGATTTATCCTACGCGGACAAAATTGATAATTAGAAAGATGACGTATATTTGCTAGCTTGTTTAATTATTCTTCTTCCTCTTCACGTTATAACTAATTAACCAAAGAACGAAGAAGGTAACGAACAAGCAGGACAATAAGCAGAGTGGGTGTGGGTGTGGGTGTGGTATGTCGGTGTTACTTCAGTTTGTAGCTAGTACACTCACACCCACACCCTCATATTAAGAAGTAGAGCATCAGGATAAGGAATAACATCATCAAAACGATCATGCCATATTTGAGACCACATATTTCCTATAAAGATTTTAAAATTTCATTAAGATATAAAGGAATAATCAACAAAAAAAAACAAGAAATATACCGAGAATATGAGCTGAAATAGGTACACTACAATTAAAACGATTTTTATACATTGAACATAAACGATCTCGAACATATGCATGCATTTGTTCATATAATGGCATACTTTTAAGACTTGATCAATAATACCTTCAACTTCGGTAACATTATCTATTTCATAATCTTGAATCCAATATTTCTGATAAAAAGAACACATTTACATTTCTGGACGATTAAGTAAAAGAATAAAAGAGAGATATGTTCCAAAAAAGATAGAATAAAATAATCTCATTGCGATTAACAAGGGCAGCTACATTATATTTCACATTTGAATCTCGCAGATTTCCTCTGGAAATGAAACAAATTCTGTCTTACAAGCGAAGAGAAGACCTTCTGTTCAGCTTTAAACAGGAGGTGAATCCTTCCAACTTCTTACAATTTTTTTTTCTAGTTCTATCACTATGCACTAGATTAACACAAAATTGTTAGCCTATGTGTGATTTGATACTATTTTTTCCTAGGATAACTCAAAGCATAAGATGACATCACAAGTATATAATTTTGTAAAGATGTATCTAATCCCTTCACGCATTGTCATTCATACTCTCATGGAACAAGTTTACTTTAATTACACTCATCACAGCGATCTTATTCACACGCAATGCTATGTGCGTAAGATATGCTAATGAGTACAATGCATGTTATTCATGTGAATTTATTGCGACTTACATTCGTTTACCTTTTTGTTGAATGTCCGATTATATTTTGTTCTTTTATAATTACATTTTTCCGATTACGTGAAACAGTGCTATATTCAAAAATATTTCGGTAAACCTAATGTTTTTTGTATGAGAAGTATTACTGCTGGTTTCTCTCTTGGTTTGGTTTGAAACCGTGTCGTTATATGATCTCCATGAAAGTATATTAAGCATATATAAATGAAACTAGAATGACACATTGTAATACAATAATAGAACTTATGAGAATTTTTCTCAGTGTCATACGCCAGTTCTAATGAGTTATAAAATCGTTACACGACGTACCTGTTCGATTTTTGTCCACTGACACGCTGCAAAAGAGCATCACAAGTAGTCAGTTAAAATGAGAATTTTATGCTCTTTCTAAATATATATTCAGAATTATGTTTGTCTGACTTTAATTCGATTCCATGAGAGCAAATGTGTTATGAAGACCAAAATTGACATTTGTACAGAATTATTCATGTAGTTCATTTTTGTATTCTGTTGAAAACTGTCTCAGTTCGCATTATTAGAAAATTCTCTTATATACATGTTTGTAGAATGAAGCTTGCTCTACAGAATGCCCACTCAGCTTCTCTTCCTACATATTGTAGCAAATCATGAGAATGTACGGTGTTAGAAAATATATCATCTGACCTAAAGTGTCATATTTCTAAAGCTGCTTGTATATTTTAACTTTTTTAAGTTCTAGCTTGCTGCAGCCCGTGATTTTATAGAACAATAAATTTTCTATAACAACTCAAAGTAAAATTTCCCTAAAGTATCCTTGAGATAACTTGCGTTTGATGGGAAAAAAAACGTATTTTGCGCAGCACAAACAATATTTTTGATTGGCTTGTATTTATTTAAGCAATAAAAATATTGGAATCAGCAATAATTAAGATACGATTTAGCAGTAACTTTTGAGCAATAAGAAAATTTAATTTGAGCAATATTATAATATTAAATTAGCAATAAATAATTTATTACATAACAACATTAATTTCATTTTTGAGCAACAAAAAAAGAGAAAAACTACATTATTTTATTTACAATTGACAAGAAACAAAAAAAATGAAATATATATAACTAATCATTGTACTAATAAAGCTTTTTTTGCTTTCGATGGTCTGCTTCTTTTTTTTTTTACCAATTGCTACATTTTTTGCCTCAGGTGGAGGTTTGCAATATTTTAATCTAATGGACATACCAATGATGTGCTTACAAATATAATTTTTCAAGAATGATGGGCAGATGCAAGTTGCTTCTTTCCATTTTTCTGCATTATTAGATAAGCATACACACCATATATTGAAGTAGACGGACTTGTACATGTCAAACGAGTTAAATCTACAAGTTTCATAACGTTTTATTTCTTTACCTGTTATTGTAATTTCTTCACCAGCAGACAAATAATATATTGTTGTATCATCGTTGGAAATAGATATAACTTCTTTGTTAAGCTTAACCCAATTGTATGCATCAGTCCAATGTGATAATGTTATTAATGGTTGATATTCGAATATTTTTGAATTGATAAGAGTAGGATTTCGTTCTTTTGACCATTTATTGACTATAGAAAATATAACAACTGTAGATCTTGATAATACTAACCGTTCCCTTAATGTATCTTCATCTTTAATCACACGATTTGTTGCTTCTAAAGCATTATTTGTGCTGGGAACATACATTGATAAGCCTTCATACCACCCATTTTTCGATTCTAACCATTCACTTGAGAAATATTGAATTAATATTTCTTGCTTCTCCCATTTTTTTTAGAATAATCTTGTAGCAATGTTAAATGTTTTGTTATTTTTTGACAATTGTGATGTTTCAATATCATTCATAATTTCATTATGTAAAGCTTTATCTTCGACTAAATTTAACTTTTTTTCTACACGTTTCCGCATATGAAACCAACACATAACAATATTATGGTCTGTTCCAAAATCTTTTGAAAATGCATTGCTAATAGCTTCAGCACCATCTGCAATAAGTACTAATTCTTGTTCATTCATCTGCAAATTTAAATTACGTAAACCATCACAAATACAGCTAAAAATAAATTCAAAGTCTTTTTCTTTTTCATTAGAACATACAGCAAATCCATATGGATGAAATTATTTGATCATATCAGTTGTTCCAATAATAAAACAAGGAAACCCTTGCCAGATTAACTTGTAAGTGGCATCAACATGGATTTTATTTGAAATACTTGCATTAAATAATAATCTTTTAGTTGTAACAAAGAATCGAAATTTATTTTTATCATCATCATCATTACTAACATTATCATCATCATCGTCATTATTAATTTCATCTTCATATTCAATCTGATATTTTAATGCCCAAGGCTTATCATCATCGTCAGGTATAAATGAATTTTGTTAACACCAAGCTTCGAGTTCACCTAAGCTAATAGTTGAAGTACCGTAACATTTTTCTCTTAATGATGTTAAATAATTCGATAATTGTTGTTTTTTCGGAACAGGTAAACCTTTCTCTTCTAATAATTCTAGCATGCGTTTTGGCTTGATTTTCATTTTGAATAACTCGCATATTACTTCTTTTGATTGTTGGTTTATGCCAATAGATCTTGATTCTTGATGTAAATGATCATCTTCTGTTTTGTACATTGTAATACATTCATTTTCACTATGGTATAAAAAGATGAATACTAGCTGGACATTGTTTCCCACGCCATTTGACTTGATTACATCTATAATAAACCCGTTTTCCTTCGCTTGTGATATTGGTATATGTTTTGCTCCATATACCATCGTTCTTGATTTTATTAATAATATCATCTTTATCGTTATATGTGCATAATGGTACCCATTTTCGCCTGTTTTGCTGTTTTCTTTTAACTGTTTCAGTGTTACCAGAAGGTTGAATTTCCATATCAATGTCATTTTCAGAATCAGAAATATAGTGTGCTACACTTTGCGATTGAGCCATGTGTATAAATTACATATAGTATTTCATAAAGTTGAGAAAACACTTATTGTTGTAGACAAACGAATTATTATCGCCCCTTTTATATACATTTATGTTTTCTTGAAATTAATTATTGATCATTCCATCTAATTATTCATCATTCAGTATATTTATTGCTCATTCATTATACATATTGCTCATTCAATATATATATTGCTCATTCAATATATTTATTGCTAAATTTGATTATTGCTCATTTCAATTTTTTATTGCTGAATAAAAATATAAGTCTTTTTGATTTGTTCAGGTATTTGTTGACAGTTAACTAGTCGTGAGTCACAAATAAGATTCTAACGATATATCTGTAAAGAGTATCTAGTTCAGTCTCTAACCAACTAGCTGTGATCCTCTTCAATTACATTTAACTGTCCGAATAATGAGAAAACATAGTTGTCAAGATCTTTGAAACTTGTGTTTTGCACAGACATCGTTCTCGGGGCTACTAGAAAAACTAAAGTTTTGAATTTAGATTTAGGAGTTTGCATAGAGACAGACCTTAGTAAGAAAAATTTATTGTAAATGTTGCAAATCTTGGATTAATTCCATCTTGAGATAAAGCTATGGTAAAAGCATGTGTTTCACGCTACTCATATAAAATAGTAAAATTCCAATGTTCTTATTTCAGAATAGGTGCAATCAAAGTCTTTCAAACTTTCACAATAAATTTTTCTTGCTGAGGAGTGTTTCTATGGAAAGTTTCAAGTCGAAACTGGAAAAATTACTTTTTCTGCTGTTTCTAAGAGGAATCACGGTATTGTTCAAGTGTGCATAGGTTCGACTCAAAGAGTGACTTACTATTCAGAAATGTCCCCTTTTTAGTAAGTTTAAAACAAGAGAAGCATCAGTCAGCCTGGTTCGCTCTCCAGACCAGGTCGGGCAATAGAGACCTATTGTTATCTCTCACTACTGTTAAATAAACTATGTAATTCGACAAGAAATATTAATATAATACACAATTTATTCGAATCAAAAAAACTTACAGCTAGATCATGGTATGCATTTGCTTTCGCATCTTGATTTAATAAATCAATATAAGATAAATAAGCTGGACGAATTTTATTTCCAGATCCATCATGCCAACCTTTCCATGCTCACATTAAACGATCATAATCTTTTTCAATTTGCATTAACCGTTCTAAATATGGTGCAAGTATATAACATTTTTTTATCATCATTTGATCCACAAACTTTTGCTGTTGAATAAATACCTTCCAATTGACCATATAACTCAGAAGTTTTTCTTACATCGTCATCATTATTACTAAATATGCTTGCTGCTAAACGCCCAAATATACGTTTTAAATCAACATTTTTTGAATATTTCATATAGTCATTAAATTATTTTGCTGTCGATAATACTAAACGACTAAATGGTGCTGAAACAAGACTTTGAGCTGTTATTGCTTTTTGATTTTCTTCAGTAATATGTGTTGCATAATTCCAAAAGGGAAGAATATTTACCTAAATAGAATAAAATAATAAATAAAATGAAACTATGCTTCTTATCTTACTTGATCATATCGTTCTGCTATGCGAAGATACCATTTTAACCATTGCAGTGCATTGCAACAGTTTCATTTGAATAATCATTAATTTCTGGCATCTTATTCATATCTTCTTCATTTAATTTATTCCATAATTCAATATTAACCTGATCATTAAGATCAACTTCAGTTTCATAATTTTCTGATTCTTGTGAATCATCATTGTTATTTCCTATGTTATAATTAATTAAAATTTCTTCTTCTAATTGTTTTTTCAAAAGATCAATAATTTCTCGCAAGTGTCTTGAATAATATCGATTTCGCTTTTGATTTGACGTTGAAAATTGAAATGAAGAGATAAGTAAAAAAATCATGATAAAATTCTTCATCATCTGCTTCCTTTTTTTCCTAAATCTAAAAACCAATAATTTTTCAAAACAACTATTATTTTAACATTTCTTTGTCACTTAATCCTTTCACGCTAGGTTTTTCTTTAGTAGGAAATGTGTCCGTATCTAGTGGAAAAATAGTTTTTCTTACAGTATGTGAAAAGCTCGTGCGTCTGGAAGCAAGAACAGCTTTCTCAATCGCTGAAAAGTCCGTGACTGAATGACATCAGCTTTTTACAATATAATTTTTATTAAAAGTGTTTCAACGTGTGATAGGCATCGAAACATGGTTCTACGCATAAGTCAACATTGCACTCTTTGCATTCGTAGCTGGTTTTTGTTTCGTGCTTTGGATCACGAGTTGTGTGATTGCAGACAAAGCAACGCCTTCGCCCATCGTTTGAGCTTTCCAATTTTGATGGAAAATGTCGTGCTGTTATGCGGGCAGGAGTCTCAATTGATGGTCTGCCTCGACTGTCCATTTTCTGAGTGTCAAATTTTTCCACAAGTGCCTGAACTACGTTCAGTCGAAAGTCGGAAAGAGCAGTTTTTTCCTCAGTTTGCAATTTGTATAGTGCACAGGCATTGAAGAGTGAGATATCAAGCAAATGGAAAAAGAATTTTTTGTACCACTTCAACGATTTGCGGATAGACTCGGAAAACGACATTTGCATGTCAGATTTATCGGCAAGTCTCCTAATTTCATTGTAGTCTTGGACAGAAATGGGTGACGCAATTCGACCACCTGTTTGGTAATCTACTTTTTCGGTAGTTGTCAATTCTGTCCCGTGAATAGTTGAAATCATATGCACGTTCCTTCTGTCTTTCCATTTGAGAGCCAAAAGTATGTCCGTAGGGAAAAAAACCTGTTCATTCTGGCTGAGTTCGAAGGCGTGGAAATTTGATAAATCACAACGATTCACTTTCACAGTACCAGAATCCCCTGTTTTCTTTTGGTGCAATATTTCGAATAGTGCAGAACTGGAATACTAGTTATCAACGTATAAATTATGACCTCTATAATGGTATTTTTTGATCAGTTTCATAACGCACTATAGATGTTGATGATCCAGTATAGACTATAAAATCTAAGATGAAACCTGGATGTCAATCACAAGCACGTAAAGTTTGATATCAAAATGGCTTCCCTTAGACGGGACATACTGTTTGAAGTCAAGTCGACCTTTCCAAAGCACCAGACTTTCATCAACCACTAGATTTTGATATGGATACATGGTATTACTAAATTTCTTTTTCGGATCATTCAGGATTGACCCTAACTTTGACAAACGATCGCTGGTAGAGAATTCTTCGTTGTCAACAAAGTGAAGATATCGTAACAGAGAAGCGTATCTGAGTCTGGCAAATATGGTGCCAAAACTCGGCGTCTCTATGAGCGAATCAGTGGACCAATATTCTCTTATCTTGCGCTTCTTTACTTGAGACATAAGTATTGTCATTGCCAGGAAGACATACAGTTTGCTAACGCTAACATCTATCCAGAAAGCCATGTGAGTAGATGACGATTGAGGAGTTTACAATTGGTACATGCTTGATTGCCTTACGATTGTTTCTATTAGGTTTTGATCAAAGAAAAGTCTGAAAAAGTGGACAGAATTTTGAAGTTAGCTATAAGGTAAACGCCGATTCATTCCTGATTGCGAAGAGTCGAAGGAATACAGGGATGGTGCAAAATCGCCTTGAATCCATTCTCTGTTTGCAGAAGATAGGTCATGTCTTGTAGTAAAACGATTAGTTCGAGAGAAGTTCTCATGCGAAGGCTCATCAATATCCGTCGATTCAGAGTCATCAGCCTCATCAAGATCGAGATTCGTCTCCAAGTAACTTTCGCTTTCAGAATCGGTATTTGCCCAAATTTCCGAAGCTTCATGCTCAGGTAAGCGTCGACGAGAAGCCATCCTATGGGAAAGAACACGAATTTCAGATACGAGATAATAATCAAATATATATGGTGCAGTTTACTGTGCTCACCAATTGTTATGTTAAAAATATGGTTTTATATGAAATATGCACTGGTTTATTGTATCAATCAATAGATGTATATACGTGTATATATATATATTCAAATGCATGGAATGGAAGAGAGCTTTCTAGAAAGCATTAGAGAGAAATTATGTATCCCTAATACAAAGAACAGAGCTATAAAGAAAAATGACGTCATTCGAACAAGCTAGAAGGAGTAAACGAGCTATGCAATATCATGCGTGTAAAAACAACAAAAGAAAATGTGAATGGAATACATGTGTGAGCGCGCTATACTTTGATACTGATGGATAGGAGAACTGGAGACAAAACGCACAAGGACAAGCCCCACCGATTTAACAAGCTACTGCTTTCAATCTTTTAGACAGACGAAACACAGCTTTAAAAGCTTCGCATTTAAAAATACATATTTACTGTAAAATCATCATCATCATTATTGGTCTTTCTATCCTTCTCATGGATAGAACTCCTCAAATACTTGTGTAAAATTGTACTTGGAGTCATATTAATACGAGCCTATAGTGAAAAACCTAGCCGTCCCATATATGGGACACCCGACGCGAAAGGGTTAAACAGCTGCTCATCCACGCTAATTCCGGCAAGTTAAATAAAATTGCACAGAAAACATGTGTCATGCAAAATAATCTCGATCAACTCAAACAATGTTACAACAACGAAATAATCAAACTCTTCGAATATCATCATGAACTGTCATTACTGATTGAAATGAAGTTAAAATAAATCAATATATGTACATGCATGATGATATATAACAGGACTATATGAATATCATTTTTTTTTATTCATGTGCATTTTTTCACCTACTCATGTGTATTAGCAATAAACTTAATTAATTATTAAAAATAATTTAAAATAAGTTCAATTTTGTTATTTTCTTAATTATCGACATTTACCTTTGTCGACGTTTTCCTGTGTCGACATTTTGCTTTTCGACATTTCTCTGTCGATCGTTTCACTGTGGACAACTTTTTGCCGATATTTGGCTACTTCCCCATACGCACCCACATCCGCAACCTCTGATGAGGATATCGAAGCGTTCTACAGCATTCTTGAGGACGCACTAACAAAAATACACAGAAAAGGCAGTCATCATAAAGAGGCGACTCGAATGCAAAAGTTGGTACCGATAATACAGATTGAAGACAGATGATGGAAAAAAACGGATACGGCAATAGGTACGAAAGAGGAGAACGTCTCCTTGAATTCGTAACAACACTCAATTTCTACATATGCAATACGAGACTCCAATAGAAACCACAACGAAAATGGACTTGAACACCATCAGATGGATATGGGTGAGAGTAGACTCTTAATCTAGCACTCATCGACACTCGCCCACACCCACATCCAACGTTCTCCCACTAAAATTATTCTCTCACGAGGGAACGTCCCCAACTGTCAAACCGCTTTTGGGCCGGGCATGTGCTCAAACGATAGACCTTAATGAGCAATTAAAGATTCTACAAAGGTTTGGTTTTCCAGCCTTCTGTTGTCAAGTTATGGGCTTTTTACTCGATTTTGGCTTATGGGTTTAAGATTCTGCTGAGTACCTGAATGGTCGAATTCCAAACTGAAATTTTACCCATAGATAGGCCTTATAAGCACCTGAAACTCCCTAAAGTTTAAGCCAGAACAGACGCATCCTTATCGAGATATCAGCTTTTCATGAAAATGTCTCTTTTTTGAAACACAGATCACAACAGGCGTTTTTTTTAATGTGAATATCTCGATAAGGATGTGTTTGTTCTGGCTTAAACTTTAGGGAGTTTCAAGTGCTTATAAGGCCTATCTATGGGCAAAATTTCAGTTTGAAATTCGACCATTCAGGTACTNTTTTTATATCATGGGAGGAGGGGGGTCTTATAATTGTGAGACACAGTGATTCAAATTTTTTAGAATTTATTCACCAATGGTAACCGACTAAATTGAAACCAATATGGTATATGATAGAGTACTACTAGATGTCTATAGGTGTGACATAAGATTAGAAATGAAACTTTCTTTAGTTGAATTAATCTTTACTTTTATGGAAATTTAGTGGGGGTCTTATAATTATGAGACACCCTGTATGTTGAAGTAGACGGACTTTTATGTGTCAAATGAATTAAACCTGCAAGTTTCATACCGTTTTATTTCTTTATCTGTTATTGTAGTTTCTTCATCAGCAGGCAAATAATATATTATTGTACCGCTATTTGGAACAGATATAACCTGTTTGTTGAGCTTAACCCAATTGTATCCATCGGTCCAGTGTGATAATGTGATTGATGATCGATATTCGAACTTACTTGAATTGACATTAGCGGGGATTTCGTTCTTTTCACCACTTTATGACTATTGAAAATGCAACAACTGCAAATCTTGATAATACTAATCATTTTCTTATTGTATCTTCATCCCTTATGACACGATTTGTTGCCTCTAGAGCATTATTTGTGCTTGAAATATACATTTCTAAACCTTCATACCAACCGTTTTTTTATTCTAATCATTCGTATGAGAAATACTGAATAAATCTTTCTTCGTTCTTTCACTTTTTTTTAAATAGTTTTGTAGCAATTTCAAACATGTTTTTATTTTTCGACAGTTGTAATGTATCACTGTCATTCATAATTTCAGTATCTAAATTTTTATCTTCTACTAAGCATAACTTTTTTTCTTCACGTTTCCGCATATGAGCTCAGCGAATTGCAATACTATGATCCCTTCCAAATACTTTTGAAAATGCATTTCTAATAGTTTCAGAGCCATCTGCAACTAGTACTAAATTTTATTCATTCATTTGCAAGTTTAAATCACGTAGATCATCACGAATATACATAAATAGAAATTTAAAATCTTTTTCTTCTTCATTTGACCACACAGCGTATCCATATGGGGTGAAATTGTTTGATCATATCAGTTGTCCCAATTATCAGACAAGCAAATCCTTGCCAGATGAACTGGTAGGCTACTTCAGC